GCAAAACAAGACATTGTTAATCGCATTTCATCACTACCTTGTGCTGTCAGAGCCAAACATGGACAATAATCTTTATCCCCACCTTGTGCTGTCAGTGCCAAACATGGACAATGATGTTTATCGCCACCTTGTGCTATCAGTACTAAACATGGACAATGAGGGGATCACATGACTAGAAAATACCTACCTGCGAACTGCACCGTCTCTGACAGGTCACCAACATAGCAAGAGCGGCAGGGTTCCAAACACCAGCGATAGAGACAAGACTGCAATAAAACTGTGACTGAATTAAACAGAAAGTCAGAGACTGAAATGGTTTCATCACCTAGTAAAAAAGCAGCTAAACCAAACTGTGTTGGGACCCACTAAAGAAGACCATCTGGGCGAAGCTTCTCGGAGGCGATAGACAGCCTAGTTGAAACCTACAAAAAAGGCATAAGACTATCAGTCATCCCAAACCTGACCTTTCAAGCAATCAACCTATTGGCTTAGGCAGCGAAACTAAAGACTCCAATACACTTATGGAAAATGCATTAGCAATTTATTGCTAGAAATAAAAAAATTTAAAAAAAAACTGTAAAATTAAACTCACTGCCTTGCCCATCCCTCTTTGAAACCTGAGAACAGGATTCGAGTTGCCGCTGAAGCGGTGGCTACGGGAAAAGTACACAGAAATGAGGGAGTCTCTTATTACTGTGGTTCCCCTGTAAACTTAGTCCTGGTTGTTCGTCCAATTCTAGACTTTACCAGGATTTGAGTTTTGCTTCCACATTCGTGTAACAGGTATAGCTTCTTTACGTGCGCACACTAGTAGTACTATGCAGCTTAAATTAGTGCGGACGTTGCTTCAGAAACATTTCAGTCATTGTTTTAATATTGTGTAAAAAACCAAACAGATATAAAAAGAAAATGCAAAATCAACTTAATAAAACCCTTTGCCCGGCTCTTTAGCGTAGTTGGCTAAACCGGACTACGCTGTGACCTGGTGGCGAACTACTTGTGGTCCGGGTTCACCCCCGGGGGTAGGCCAAAAAGCCACATTTCCTCCAAGATTTACATTACCTTTCTGGATATTTAAAAAAAAAAAAACCAACAGGCACAATACATTACACACAGACTTAGCACAAACATAGCATTCACGGGTACAGCAGAAGTAGACACAACACATTTACATCAAAAACGCTCATATACACAGTAAAGTACTCACTGACTTAACACACAGACATACACACGTATACACAAACACACCTAATCAAAGACACAACACGTGCACACAGACACAAAACATATTCCCAGACACAATACTCAGAAGCACACAGAGACACAACACGTGCACACAGACACAAAACATATTCCCAGACACAATACTCAGAAGCACACAGAGACACAACTCGTGCACACAGACACAAAACATATTACCAGACACAATACTCAGAAGCACACAGAGACACAACTCGTGCACACAGACAACAACACTCACACAGACAACAACACTCACACAGACAACAACACTTACACAGACACAACATTCACACAGACAACAACACTCACACAGACACAACACTCACACAGACACAACATTCACACAGACAACAACACTTACACAGACACAACACACAGACACAACATTCACACAGACAACAACACTCACACAGACACAACACTTACACAGACACAACATTAACACAGACAACAACACTCACACAGACACAACACACAGACACAACATTCACACAGACAACAACACTTACACAGACACAACACTCACACAGACACAACATTCACACAGACAACAACACTCACACAGACACAACACTTACACAGACACAACACTTACACAGACACAACACTTACACAGACACAACACTTACACAGACACAACATTCACACAGACAACAACACTCACACATACACAACACTTACACAGACACAACATTCACACAGACAACAACACTCACACAGACACAACACTCACACAGACACAACATTCACACAGACAACAACACTCACACAGACACAACACTTACACAGACACAACATTCACACAGACAACAACACTCACACAGACACAACACTCACACAGACACAACATTCACACAGACAACAACACTTACACAGACACAACACACAGACACAACATTCACACAGACAACAACACTCACACAGACACAACACTCACACAGACACAACATTCACACAGACAACAACACTCACACAGACACAACACACAGACACAACATTCACACAGACAACAACACTTACACAGACACAACACTCACACAGACACAACATTCACACAGACAACAACACTCACACAGACACAACACTTACACAGACACAACACTTACACAGACACAACACTTACACAGACACAACACTTACACAGACACAACATTCACACAGACAACAACATTCACACATACACAACACTCACACAGACACAAAACCAACACAAACACAAAACTCACACAGATACAACACTCACACAGACACAACACTCACACAGACACAACACTCACACAGACACAACACTCACACAGACACAGCACTCACACAGACACAACACTCACACAGACACGACACTAACACAGACACAAAGCTAACACAGACACAACACTCACACAGACACAACACGCACACAGACACAATAGTTACACAGGCACAAACCTCACACAGACACAACACACACACAGACACAACACACAGACACAACACTCACACAGACACAACACTCACACAGACACAACACTCACACAGACACAAAACTAACACAGACACAACACTCACGCAGACAGAACACTCACACAGACACAACACACAGACAGAACACTCACACAGATACAACACTTACACAGACACAACACTCACACAGACACAACACTCACACAGACACAACACTCACACAGACATAAACTAACCCAGACACAACAGGCAGACACAACATACAGAAATTACACACAGACACAACACTCACACAGACACAACACTCACACAGACATAAACTAACCCAGACACAACACGCAGACACAACAATCACACAGACACAACATACAGAAATTACACACAGACACAACACTCTCACAGACACACACACACACACACAAGAGACAACACCCGCATGGGAAAGGAAAGGGCCTAAGACTCCAGTACTTTATTGGACAGGGCAGGTCTCGGTAAATGTTTACGGGTAACCGAGGGCCCCCTTCCACCTCCACACAGAAAAAAGCCACAACAACAATAAACTCAGAAATAACCACAAAACCAACTGAAGTGTGTGTGATTTCACCAGACTAGAGCTCGATAGAGATGAGACACTTTGCGATCAGGAATAAGCAAGAATTCAAGAATTAAGCAAATACCGTCTGGAATCAAACGTAGAACTTCGTCGGAAATTATAATCATTCTTAATTGCCTTGGCAACTGACCCGGGCGATCATGCCTCTCCACAACCTGAGATCTTCGACAGCATGTAACACTCTTGTGTGTTGACACCCCTTCGTGATTTAGCAAAAGGCTTTCAAGAATCAAATAGTCTTTTCTAAACCAACTTTCATTCCAATGTAGCGTTAAAAAAAAAAGGGGGGGGGGGGGTGGGCATGGGAGAAGAGGATATAACTGCATGGCGCATCTCACCCGCTGATGGCCATGTCACGGAATTTTCATGTTAGAATGAGCGGTCCCATGAACTAGCTCGCCTCCTCTCAGTCACCACCACCTGCATTAGTCCATGGCCGCTTAGTCCGTGGCTAACATCTAAATCTGGAGACCACTCCGCTATTTGTGGCTAACTGCTGTATCTGGAGACCACTCTGCTATTCGTGGCTAATCTTTGTATCTAGAGGCCACTCTGCTATTCGTGGCTAACTTCTGTATCTAGAGTCCACTCTGCTATTCGTGGCTAACTTCTGTATCTAGAGGCCACTCTGCTATTCGTGGCTAACCTCTGTATATAGAGGCTACTCGGATATTTTTTGGCTGAGCACTATATCTACAGACCCCTACACCATCCACCACCAGGTGGACGCACTTAGTTTACAAATGTTTGGATCTACCTACTACATAGTCATGTTTTTAAGAATAAGTAAATAAGATGATGAATATGATGATGATGATGCAATCGGCTGACGATAAATCTCAGGAGTCTTTCTTTCCTTATATAGGAATACTTCTGAGCATCTGTTGGAAAACTGAAGGGGGCAACGATTTATGCGGCGTTGCTTTCTGTCAACACATACTATGGTTACTAGTGGGACGAAGATTGCCTCAGATCGCCAGTTAACCTTCTTTAGTCGAACCAAGACGGCAGACGGGGCCTCTAACTATTTCCACCAAGGTGTCCCTGAAACGACGGTTAAGGGAAAAGTAAACAAAAAAGTTGACGGATGCGTTCACAGAGTAGAGGAGAAATATTACATACATGCCAGCCACGTAATAGACCTTGTAGTCGCCGGCATAGGAGAAGCCGGGCACGAAATGTTTACAGTAAATAAACACAACAGTGGGTGTGTTGCAGGCGATGAATATACTAGATATACAACACACCACTGTCACAAGTCTTTTGTACTTGGGAGAGGATGCAAGGTTGCTGTGATGGCTGGAGGAAATATTGGTGGACTTTCTCTAAAAGTTTGATGACCGCTTGAGACCAATCACCATGACAACGGTATTGACGAAGACAGCTCACAAAATGATGGGAGTACGATGGTGTTGGAGATATTATGAATCGTTTCAACTGTCATGCTTTCTTTGGAGAGGGACACAGTCAGTCTGCTGTTGTTGAAACGTTGGTCGTAGGTAAAGTTCAAGGTCGATGTGGAGAAGAGAGCTGTGTAACTGACCCCGACTAGGATCCACAAACTTCCCAGGAAGGTCAGTGTCCTCTTGACCGAGAAGAGAGACAGGACGTGGAGCGGTATGATGATGCACAGACATCGCTCCAGCGAGACAAGGACAGTGGTCAGGCTAGAGATGTCCGAGAACATGGCGATACTCCAAGCGACAATGTAGTACTGGACAGCAGCAAAATCGACTGTACTTGTTGGCAATGCTGTCTGGAAGATGCTTAATAGGTCGAATATCAGACAGGTGAGTACAATGAGGAAGTCAGTGATTGACAGTGACAGTAATGTCAGCGTGACGTTGTTAGTTCTCCAGTCCTGTCTCAGAAAGACTGTAATGTTAGCTAGGTTGAGGACAACGCCAGCCGTACTGAGCAGGACGTTGAGAGGGGTTATAAACTCCATGGCTGTCGGGTCGTGACTTCCACGTCTCTAAACAGCCTCAGTAAAACAGACCGGCTTCAGCCACGCCTGTGACTCGGTAGTTTCTGATGCGCATAATGCAAAGGTAAAAGTTAAAATTTCCACATCGTCGGAATTTTGTTTACCTTTAAACAAAATCAAAGTTAAAAATGTGACAAATGCTGTTATCTAAACGTATCTGGTTTCACTAGAAAACCGAATACAATTTAATCAATCTAAAATATATCAAATTAGAATGCATAATCCAATCTTAACCGAGAAACATTTCGTGTATGGATGTTTACTGTGTGAGCAGCAGGGGGCTGTCATCCTTAAGGAACGCATTTAAAATGTTGCTGTTGAATATGTTGCTTGGTTACATCATGTTTTGGAAAGCAGTAGGAAAAAAAAAAAAGATTTCACTCAAAAGTTATTAATACTGCATACATCTATTTTCTGTAACAGTTACACTATCTACTGCTGTTACTGTGTGATTAGTACTGCTACTGTTATTATTGCTACTATTATACTATTACCACTGTTATTATTGCTACTATTATACTATTACCACTGTTATTATTGCTACTATTATACTATTACCACTGTTATTATTGCTACTATTATACTATTACCACTGTTATTATTGCTACTATTATACTATTACCACTGTTATTATTGCTACTATTATACTATTACCACTGTTATTATTGCTACTATTATACTATTACCACTGTTATTATTGCTACTATTATACTATTACCACTGTTATTATTGCTACTATTATACTATTACCACTGTTATTATTGCTACTATTATACTATTACCACTGTTATTATTGCTACTACTATAATATTACTAAAACTACTGTTATTATTACTACTTTGGTTAGTTGCGTATCCTTTACAGGACGTTGCAGAACCAACCCTAACAGCCCCTGGCTGTGTGGTTTTTCTACGCAAATTTACATCCAGTAGTTTGCCATTGCTTCTGGACAGTCGGCTTTCTTGATACCACTGTCGTAACCAACGCAAGGCGCATGCCCCGCAGCTGGGATCGAACCCGGCATCCCGGCATTACGAAGCGTTCGCATCGACTTAGCCACTACTGTTATTATTACTACTACTATACTATTATTGCTGTTATTATTAATTCTACTATACTATTACTATTACTACTGTTATTATTGCTACTACTCTACTATTACTACCACTACTGTTATTATTGCTACTACTATACTATTACATTTTTATTATTGCTACCACTATACTATTACTATTACTAGGGTAATTATTGCTACTACTATACTATTACTACTACTACTGTTATTATTACTACTATTATACTATTACGATTACTACTATTATTATTACTACTACTATACTATCACAATTACTACTGTTATTATTGCTACTACAATACTATTAATATAACAACTGTTATTATTACTTCTACTATACAATTACTACGACTACTATTATTATTTCTGTTACTATACTACTACGACCACTACTGTTATTAATACTACTATTATACTATTAACACTACTACTTTTATTATTGCTACTACTATACTATTTCTTTTACTACTGTTATTATTGCAATTTCTATACAATTACTACCACTACTGTTACTATTGCTATTACTATACTATTCCTACGACTACTATTATTATTTCTGTTACTATACTACTACGACCACTACTGTTATTAATACTACTTTTATACTATTAATACTACTACTTTTATTATTGCTACTACTATACTATTACTGTTAATACTGTTATCATTGCTATTACTATACTAATACTACCACTACTGTTATTATTGCTACTTCTATACTATTACTACGACTACTTAAATTATTTCTATTACTATACTATTACTACCACTACTGTTATTATTACTACTACTATACTATTACTACTACTACTGTTATTATTACTACTACTGTACTATTACTACTTCTGCTGTTATTATTGCTACTACTATACTATTACTACTGTTATGTACTACTACTACACTATTACAAAAACTACTTTTATTATTGCTACTATTTACTGTTACTACAACTACTGTTATTATTACTACTACTATACTATATTTAGTACAACTGTTTTTATTACTACTACTATACTATTACTACTACTGCTGTTATTATTACTTCTACTATACTATTATTACTACTGTAGGATATAAAATATATATTGCATAAAGGAAAAAAAAAAACACTCTGCCGGGCCCAGACGGAATGATGTATGTCTACGTAATTGACAGGAGCCAGGTATGTCCACGTAAGGGACAGGAGCCAGGTATGTCCACATAAGAGACAGGAGCCAGGTATGTCCACGTAAGGGACAGGAGCTAGGTATTTCCACATAAGAGACAGGAGCCAGGTATGTCCACGTAAGGGACAGGAGCTAGGTATGTCCACGTAAGGGACAGGAGCCAGGTATGCCCACGTAAGGGACAGGAGCTAGGTATGTCCACATAAGAGACAGGAGCCAGGTATGTCCACGTAAGGGACAGGAGCCAGTAATGGTACTAGACCACATAAGAGACAGGAGCCATGTATGTCCACGTAAGGGACAGGAGCTAGGTATGTCCACATAAGAGACAGGAACCAGGTATGTCCACGTAAGAGACAGAAGCCAGGTATGTCCACGTAAGGGACAGGAGCTAGGTATGTCCACATAAGGGACAGGAGCCAGGTATGTCCACATAAGAGACAGGAGCCATGTATGTCCACATAAGGGACAGTAGCCAGGTATGTCCACATAAGAGACAGGAGCCATGTATGTCCACATAAGGGACAGTAGCCAGGTATGTCCACGTAAGGGATAGGAGCCAGGTGTGTCCACATAAGGGACAGGAGCCAGGTATGTCCACATAAGGGACAGTAGCCAGGTATGCCCACGTAAGGGACAGGAGCCAGGTATGTCCACGTAAGGGACAGGAGCCAGGTATGCCCACGTAAGGGACAGGAGCCAGATATGTCCACGTAAGGGACAGGAGCCAGGTATGCCCACGTAAGGGACAGTAGCCAGGTATACCCACGTAAGGGACAGGAGCCAGGTTTGCCCACGTAAGGGACAGGAGCTAGGTATGTCCACGTAAGGGACAGGAGCCAGGTATACCCACGTAAGGGACAGGAGCCAAGTATACCCACATATGGGACAGGAGCCAGGTATGTCCACATAAGGGACAGGAGCCAGGTGTGCCCACGTAAGGGACAGGAGTGATACTATTACTACTACTGCTGTTATTATTACTTCTACTATACTATTATTACTACTGTAGGATATAAAATATATATTGCATAAAGGAAAAAAAAAACACTCTGCCGGGCCCAGACGGAATGATGTATGTCTACGTAATTGACAGGAGCCAGGTATGTCCACGTAAGGGACAGGAGCCAGGTATGTCCACATAAGAGACAGGAGCCAGGTATGTCCACGTAAGGGACAGGAGCTAGGTATGTCCACATAAGAGACAGGAGCCACGTATGTCCACGTAAGGGACAGGAGCTAGGTATGTCCACGTAAGGGACAGGAGCCAGGTATGCCCACGTAAGGGACAGGAGCTAGGTATGTCCACATAAGAGACAGGAGCCAGGTATGTCCACGTAAGGGACAGGAGCCAGGTATGCCCACATAAGAGACAGGAGCCATGTATGTCCACGTAAGGGACAGGAGCTAGGTATGTCCACATAAGAGACAGGAACCAGGTATGTCCACGTAAGAGACAGGAGCCAGGTATGTCCACGTAAGGTACAGGAGCTAGGTATGTCCACATAAGGGACAGGAGCCAGGTATGTCCACATAAGAGACAGGAGCCATGTATGTCCACATAAGGGACAGTAGCCAGGTATGTCCACGTAAGGGATAGGAGCCAGGTGTGTCCACATAAGGGACAGGAGCCAGGTATGTCCACATAAGGGACAGTAGCCAGGTATGCCCACGTAAGGGACAGGAGCCAGGTATGCCCACGTAAGGGACAGGAGCCAGGTATGCCCACGTAAGGGACAGGAGCCAGGTATGTCCACGTAAGGGACAGGAGCCAGGTATGCCCACGTAAGGGACAGTAGCCAGGTATACCCACGTAAGGGACAGGAGCCAGGTATGCCCACGTAAGGGACAGGAGCTAGGTATGTCCACGTAAGGGACAGGAGCCAGGTATACCCACGTAAGGGACAGGAGCCAAGTATACCCACATATGGGACAGGAGCCAGGTATGTCCACATAAGGGACAGGAGCCAGGTGTGCCCACGTAAGGGACAGGAGTGATGCGGTCTTGAGGGAGGTGGTTTTTCACCTCACCTAGAGCATCATAACATGGGATACGGAACAAAGAATGCTGTTTACCGTGTTCCATCATTCGATCCTGTCGGTGATACATTATGGGTTTGGAATGCTTACCATATCAAAGAGTCAGCTGATCTCATACAGAATAACGCTGTGCGGGTAGTTCTGGGTTGTACAAGAGATATCACGGTAGTATGTAGGCGATATATGCTTGCATTGCCTACTATAACAGATAGGCCTCCAAGCTCGAAGTCATATCTTAGAGTAGCTGCAGACTAGAAGCACCTCCCGCATGAAGCCCTGGGTAGAGCTATGGGTCACAGAATGAAAGAAGTAATGTCTTGGATGGCACAAACTGAAGACAGACTTGTGTGCAGGTTTGGACAGACTTGTGTGCAGGTTTGGACAGACTTGTGTGCAGCTTTGGACAGACTTGTGTGCAGCTTTGGACAGACTTGTGTGCAGCTTTGGACAGACTTGTGTGCAGGTCTGGACAGACTTGTGTGCAGCTTTGGACAGACTTGTGTGCAGGTTTCTACAGACTTGTGTGCAGGTTTGGACAGACTTGTTTGCAGCTTTGGACAGACTTGTGTGCAGGTTTCTACAGACTTGTGTGCAGGTTTGGACAGACTTGTGTGCAGGTTTGGACAGACTTGTGTGCAGGTTTCTACAGACTTGTGTGCAGGTTTGGACAGACTTGTGTG